TTCATTGGTATATTGGATTATCCTAAGTAGTTGAAAAACTAGAAAGATTGTGGAATATCTGTAATTTTAGGTGTATTTTTATTGTAATAATTTATAAAGATTACAACTAGCCCATGAAGTCTTCTATGAAATCATTGTGTTCACAAATAATTAAGGTGGTGTTAGGAATAAAGAAATTAGTTTCCTTTCAACAACTTAAGAGTTGGAAGAATAAGCTGTTTACTTCACTAGGTTCTCAAGCAATGAATGTTAAACATTAAGTTCAAATTTGTTTTTTATTGGAGAGAATCTCTTAAGTTCTTTTTTTTTGTTGAAACATTATGCCAAAATCTGTCACATACACTGTTCCTTTGTATTCATTATCCAAGTGTTAGTAGAGATAATTAGTAAATTTCTTGTTTTAAATTTGTAAAAGGTTAAGGTTTAGTTTAAATTTTTTTGGTCATTGATGATGTTATTTTTTTTGTAGTTTACTGAAAGAACTTGATGCAAATAAATATATCATTATATTGTAAACTTAAATGTGAACTGTCATCATTAAGTATAAGTAAACTATTCATATATTGTAGTAAATAAGTGTATGTACAGTATCTCTTCCAAAATAACAACAACAAACTTTTGAACAATTTTTTAAATTTCATTTTTCCACACTTGTAGGAAATAAAGTTTTATTTTATAGAGCAACATGCGAGGGCCAGCTTATTGGTGTGAAAACTTGGCTAAAAAATGTATTCAACTTATTTCTCGAAAATACAATTTCATACACTTAATAATAAAAGCATGACTTTTGTTTTTGCAGTGGTTGAAAAAGAATTTAAGGTTATGCAAAAGTAAAGGATTAAAATGTTGTACATATACATCTGAGAGAACTTGTGTTAAAGGCATACAGGCATATGTTTGTGTGCATGTCACAAGTTTTTACTGAGTTACATTCAAAATTGAATTCAACTAATTTATTATCATGGAATACGAATAAACTTGGCATCAGAACTTAGCTAATAATCTAAATTTTAATATTATATAAGTTTTAAGTTCTTTATTTTATAAGGCAATACTAAAAAACAATCCTCCATTTCCCTTAGTACGAGAATTATGACATTTGCTCTCTAGGTATCCCTCCTTTAATTTATTTATCACTCCTCTAATAAGTATGAAATTTAACATAAATTACTCATTATGATATTGTTATTACTCAGGCAAATCATATTTTTATATTCCTCAATTTTATTTGGTTAGAGAGCCATAAAATGGAAACTCAGACCCCTCTTGCCAAGTGCACCTGTCACATCCTCTCTTGTCGCATAGCTACAAAAATTATGATAGTTATAAGACATATGACATCATTTACTTTTTACATGTTATTATTCTGTGTTCTTAGTTGAATTATTTAATTAAATAAAAAATTTAGTGCAGTAATACCATTAGTATAAAAAAAATAGGGGTTAAGTTTCATTGACAGTCAACAGCAACAAAAAACAAAAAAGACTCAGGTAAGTAACATATTTTGTGGTTTTCATATGTATTCTTTAGTTATTATTATAAAGCAGTTAAAAATGTAAAAACTTGTAACTTTTTAGATTAAATTGGGTAATATAAAGAAAAAATACTAATAAAAACTTTTTACAAGTTATGCTCATGAGCAAATTGTGAGTAGCCTATGTATTGCGTAATTCGATAGGGTAAAATTATCTATATGTTTGCAAAGTGATTTACAACTCGTGGAGCAGGATTATTAGTTAGACATGGTTCAAAGAGAAATATAACAAAATTTAAGTAGAAACAGATATGTATACTGGTATGAGTTTAAAGCTATTTAGGATAAACAAATGTAGTTTCATGTTACAATTTGAAGTTATTGGAGTAAATAAAAAATGGCAATTTAGATTTCATATTTTTTATGGTAGTTGCAAAGTTGGTCAAATTGACTGACCTTCTATAGAGTTAGGGTAGAAAAATGTAAAGTTTTACTGAAGGAAAACATTTTACATTTATTTTGGTGGTTATAAAGATTACGCAAATGAAATTTGACGATTTTTAGATGAAAAGTATTTTTAATCTTAACATAATCACTTTGCACTTGGAGCAGTCGACACTTTGATTTCTATCATTCTTGGAGAAATTTTTAGTAAGAATAATTCAGAAAAAATTCTTAGTGATAGCTTGCAAAATTCTATGAAGATACATGAAACATATCAGAAGTTATAGTATGGAGACTATAAAGGTAAATTTGGGGCCATGAACTCGGTCGAATTGACTGAGTCTGTGGCAAGAGTGTTAGTTTGTACATAAGAAAATATTAAAGGTAGATTGTAATGTACATAATATGCTTACTGTATTAGACATACTAATGTGGATTTTTCATTATATAACATTTGTCTTAGTTTCTGTTAAAAACATATGCATAACATCACAAGTATATTATGCATTTGATGAAGTATTTAGTGTTATGATATGTATATCTTTGATATTTTACAATTTCTGTAGCCATTAAGAACTGTGATCCAAATGGACATCTGATGATGTACATTTCCAAAATGGTTCCAACTTCTGATAAAGGGCGTTTCTATGCTTTTGGACGTGTGTTCTCTGGCACTGTTGCATCAGGCTTGAAGTGTCGCATCATGGGTCCAAACTTTGTACCTGGCAAGAAGGAGGATATGGTTGAAAAATCTATCCAAAGGTGAGTTAAATGAATAAGTGTAACTACAGTTAAAATTTAAACAACTTTTATTATCAATATTTTGTCTGTAAAGTTCACATTAGAATTTAGTTTATAATTCAAATTTTTATATTATCTAAGTTTAATTTTCTTAATCTTAAAATGATAATTTTTTTAAGTATTTTCCTCTTTAATTTTGTTGTGACATGATGTGAGAGGGCTCTCAGTTCTTTGACATTTAGTTTGTACAGTTTCGGTAATATAGCATCTACACTGTTTAAGTAATATAAACATAATCTATAATCAGTCAGATGTATAGTTTTAGTGTTCTGAGTTCTTTGTCAAGTGAAACCTTGCCCATCCATCTTTAATAACATTCAAAACCACGAGTTCTTATTTGAAGTATATGTCTATTTCAACCATGCAACTGTCCTTTTGACCTTGGCAGTGGTAGATCCAGAAGAAGTGATTGATGTGTGTGTGTGTGTGTGTGTGTGTTGTAAGCCTAAGTTGATG